AAGCATGTTCAGAAAACATGCACACAGATAAATAGAAGTTTAATACAATTTAAAATCAAGATGTTATTTGTGCTAATGAAGAGACTGTTCAGTCAATGGAACCAATACAAATAACATGAATTATAAAATATGTGTACATAATGCAGTGTTACTGCCCATGAGGTAGGAAGTTATTCTCAGGAGTGAGAATTCCTAGACCACCTCATCCCTCAAGCCCTGAGAATTAAGGCAAGTGGTGCCTCTTAGAGACTGTTTCTTCATTCGTGTGACAGCAGCCACACCACATGTGTGCACTGCCTGACACAGAGGAAAAGAGCAGGTGGTAGATGCCATCTTTACTACCAGCCTAGAAAAGCAAGCCTCATCATATAACAATGCTGTAGACATTAAGATGCCGCCCACCCCCCCAATCACTGAGCTTAGATTCTTCTCATTTCAGAGTTCTCACAACAGTCTTCTCTTCCATCCTGAAGTCCACAAGGTATACAGAAAGAGGACCTGATGACCCTGTTTGGCTCTGCTAGGTGTTACTGTTGGCATCATCAGAGTGTCAGCTTCAGAAATAATGACCATGACACATATTCCTAGCCACAGGCGATTTGTATACAAATTGATGTAAGCAAGAAACATGATCCAATATCTCCTGTAAAAATAGCATGCAATTTTCTAAGCTTTCCCTTAGATTCCTTTGCATAATGAGTGTTGCAGAAGAGTACAATGTGAATGAAGTCTGAAAACAAAAGCATCCCCGGGGAATGGAACAAACTGTAGTGATCTCCTCTGGCCTGCGCATGGGTCCCATCTCCCAAGTGGAAACTCCAACTGCCTGGAGGGAAAAGATAAAAATAGTTTACACCAGCTGGTACCTAAAACAGGCCCCCGTTCATGTGGAGACAGATACACGCACACATATTTAGCCATTAGGCCTCAACCCTCCTGGCATATCTTGAAACTCAGGCTGACATTCACATTCATTTTCATCTGCTTTGAGATTTGCCCCAAGTCCCACACATGCTGTAGTGACTTTGTTGAGAACTGAAGCAATGGCAAAATCTGAAATGAGCTATTAACCAATAGCAGCTCCTAAAACAAAGATTTCAAAACAGTAACATTCTGTACACCTGAATCTGGAACATTCCCTTCATGGGAAGCAGAACAAACTAAGCTATGAAACACATGTAAGTCCTGCCTTGAGCATGTTAAAGGCTCAAGCTTTTAAAGTTTATATTTTTAAAGTGATACATGGTAATTGGACATATTTACAGAGTATGTAATGTGGTATTTCAGTACATGTTTATAATGAAGAGGGATCAGTTCAAGGTAATTGGCCTATCACCGCAGACATCTGTCATGGTGCTAAAAGCATTCAAAACCTTCTGTTAGCTATTTCCAAATATTCAGTTGTTGTCCTAGTGTACTATAGGAAGAAGCTATGCATCCTATTCAGCTGGTCTCCTGTATCCATTAGCCACCCTCTCTCTATTCCTTCCCTCTACAACATCGTTTAACTTAATGACAAGGCATATGCACTCTTTTGTGCTATTTCTCTCCTGGACAAATACCCCAGAATTACATTTCCCTTAGCACTTGTACTCAGGCACTGGAGTGGAATGCTTACCAATTAACCATTAGGAACCCACTTGTATCGTGCAAGTCCTGTGGCATTGCCTGACTCTCTGACCCTACTCTGAGTCTTGACACTGCAAACATCCCTCCTCTCCCCTTGTGGCTGAATCCTGATGCCATCTGAAAATTGGGAAGGTCCTTCGAGAGCATCTGCTTTGTGTTACTGAAAGCAGGAAGCTCCAGGATCTCGGAGATGTTTGTTTGGCCCTATACTGCCCTCCATGTCCCTTCTAGGATGTTCGGGTCTGTGGCCACCTGTATTTTAGGTCAGGAGGGATGCTTGGAGACATACTGGCACTTGAGAGGGACCTGCTAGCCTGGGAGGGCAGAGCCTCAATCAGATTCAACTAAAAATAGAGGCCAACCCCAGACTAGACTTAGTGAGATTGTACTGATAGGAGAGGCCACTAGTGTGCTCGCCTGAGATGCACCTGTTCTCCTGGGATCCAGGCATACTGGCCACCAAAGGGGCAGAGGTAGCTGATGAAGCAGCTGCACACACCAGTCGCAACTCCACTGCAGCGGAAGCCACAGGAGCAGCTCCTCTGCAGCTAGCTACCTGACAAGTGGAGCCACACAGTGTGATTGAAGGATCGGGAACGCGCTCCTCTTGGAACCCACTGCTCTTCCGGGTGCTGCCCAGCACCTTTCCATTAGGAAGCAGGGTGGAAATCCTGAGTTGACAAGGGAATTATGTAGTCCACCTCCCTCCATAGGTAGATGCGGAAAATAAAGCACAGAGAAGTTAATCTATTCACCCAAGGGCAAACAGCCTGTAATTTCTCACAGCATGACTTCTGAAACAGTGATATCACAAGACTTTTGATTGAAACAACTTTAGTGCGAAGTTTCTGAAATCAGTTGGTTTAGGAAGTGCTACATTCTCCATTCTCCTCTGCCTGGTCTTCTTCTTCAACATGCATTAATTCAATCTCAAAACGAAGGGCATATTTTACAGATCTGGTTTAACCTGGCAAAGTCGAAGCTCACCCACAAAAGTTCAGATTTCAGGACCAAGAAAACAGAGCAGCAACAAACAGAAGGAATATTACTTGAGATCCTCCACGCATGAGGGGTTTTTGTTTTGTTCTCTTTTCTTTTCTTTTTCAGTGACAGTGCTCCAGAAAGAGATTTAGCTGAGTGGTGTCAGTCGATAACCTTGAGTATGCTTTATTTCTTCTCTAAGGCTTGTCTAAGGAGAGAGCACTTAAAATCTTATGACCAAACAGATCAGCCCAAACCTGAGGCTTTTGCTTTCAGAAAGTAAGTCTAGACAGAAGGCTGGAAATCAAGGGAGAAAACTTGGAAATTCAGACTCTCTGAGGAAGAGGGGGAGCGGTGACAACGGCAGGAAGTCAGCTAAATCCCTGTGTGCTCCTTGGCAGTTGGCTCAGTGGTCATCTCTCCTTGAAAGGAAGCCTACAACACATTCAGTGCACTCCCAGCAAAGCAATCCCCCCTTACGCAGCACAGCATTGCCACAGCTCCCAGAGGACATGGTCACTTTTCAGGTTAATTCTATTCCATGGAATTCTTGTTCCAAATTTCCTTCCTGGGCAATTATTTAGAATCTAGGGAGAGGCTTACTTTTGAATACAATTTCTTTTTTTTAATTATGAGGAAAGGGTGGCTTCCCCATCCATTCAATCCCACTTCAATTAGCACAACTATCATTTGGGTCATTACCTTAAGTGTTTGAAATTTCTGCTTTAATAAGGTCACTCTCAATTTGGTAAACACTCCTAAGTCATCATATTAAATCACCACCAGTCACCTAAGGAATGCTGAGTAAGTAAACATAATCAAGCATTAGCTAACTAGCCATGGATGCACTTGAGTTTATTAATTTCTCTCTTGGCAGAGAGGCAGAAAAAGGAAGCAAACCATCAGAGACATTCAGGCACCATTCATTTAATAAACAGTTCTTACATACCAGGTGCCCATCACCAGGCTAAGCTGAATACAAGCTCCATTATCTTATTGCCACTCACAGCTATGGATATGAATGTTTTCAAGAATAAAATTCTACTTTCCCAGAAAAATAAAAATACTTGCAATGCTCTTTCTTCATTTCTGCTCAATATACCTTTCTCCAAGAATAGATGATCCCTTATACCTCTTGAACTTCTAGATTCTGCAGGCCTCCCTCCAGAAGATTCCCAATCATCTGTCAACTGGGTAACTACACACTCACAGTGGAAGCACTGGAGAGGCACCAACAGTAACTAAAGTCTTAGAATACAAGTGGTACTAAATAGTTCACATTGCCGCACTTGGATTTCTTTATTAACCTATACATTTTAAAATAGATTATTTAGGACAAAGGAGTTCCTATTTGCTCAAAAATGTTTTTCAAGTATTAGTACACACAGGAAGGTACTTCAAAAAAATCACAGAAACTAATTGAAAAAATAAGTTTATTTGGGGGCAAATGTTGAAATCATTACAAACTAAAGTTCATGATGAGAAAACAGACTTAAATTTTTTTTGCACCAGAATAAATTTAATTTGATTTTCCACAAACGTTTTGAGGACCCCTTGTGTATTTTCCAAATCAAGACACAACCTGGGAATAATATCTTAAAAGAAACCCACCATTTATCCAACAGAAGCAAGCATGAGCTAACTAGACACAAATCCACTCGAGTTTGTCAAAGGCAGCAGCCCAATTCCCATCTTCTGATAGTACCACCCCCCAAAAAACATACCTATCAGAATTCAACTATCCAAGAAAACATCCACACTTAGAAGTGACCTTATTAAACAAGTCAGTTCATCGGCCAAGAAGGATAAAACATTTGGGCAGGAGACTTACCACTTTCCCTCTCTGACCCAACAAGCCTACTATACACCTCCAGGAGGCACGAATTGCCATGCGCAGTGAACCCCACGCGTCCCTAGCCTTCACACATACGCTGCAGACCCCTCCCTCTGAGGCCTCCACACTCCAGGAACAGCCCACTTACCAAAACACACCCAACACCCCCCGCAGCACCCAGAGGCAGAGGTGAGGAATCCTGGGCCAGGCTGCTCCTGAGGCTGCGGACATCACAATGGAGCCGACGGGCAGCCTCATTGTCATGTGAGTCTCCCCTGGCTCCCCTTCACTGCCAGCGCAGGGAAAGGGTGAGACCTTTCGGAGCCGCCAAGTGGGCAGGCTTCCAGCAGCAGCCTGGGAGCTAGCGATCAGCAGAGCCACCCAGCCGGCAGGCACGGCATTGGGCCTCGCGTTTCAACTTCTGTTCAGTTCTCCTGTAATGGAAAATTGCTTTGCACAAAGCTAGAGTGTTACAGTTCTTTCCAGCGCCCCTCCCCCAACCCGCCCCACCCTCAACAGCCTTCGGATCAGAGGGACAGCGCCCGGAGGAAGGTGCAAGGAGGGTAGCCCTGGCTTCTTACTATGTCCCTTGCTTCAGGCCCTGGTCCCCGGTGGTTACTCTTTTCCTTTGGAATGGGACTGGTGTCGGGGTCCAAGTGTCCACATAATTGCCTGTGTCAAGCGCAAGAAGTGGTCTGCTCAAGGCAGCAATTAACGGATTACCCTTCTGACATCCCCCTCAACACCCGGCGGCTATTCCTGAACGACAACAAAATCACTAGCTTGCCAGCCATGCATCTAGGACTCCTCAGTGATCTTGTTTACTTGGACTGTCATAACAACCGGATCCGAGAGGTGATGGATTATACCTTCATCGGGGTCTTCAAACTCATCTACCTTGACCTCAGCTCCAACAACCTAACCTCCATCTCCCCATTTAGCTTCTCAGTGCTCAGCAACCTGGTACAGCTGAACATTGCCAACAACCCTCACCTGTTATCACTTGATAAGTACACCTTTGCCAACACCAGCTCTCTAAGGTATCTGGACCTTAGGAACACCGGCTTGCAGACCTTGGACAAAACGGCTTTCCACCACCTCACAGTACTGCAGACGCTCTATCTGAGTGGAAACCCTTGGAAGTGCAACTGTTCTTTCCTGGACTTCACCATCTTCTTGATAGTGTCCCATCTGGACCACCCAGGTGAGAGTTTAGCCGAGTGTGGGGAAGAGGATGGGATGCAGTAGAGGAACCGGCTTCAGAAGAGGTGTAAGTCAAAAGCTAGGATGGGAGAAAAGACTGGGTTAAAGTGAATGCACCCTTTCCTGCTGCTCTGGGGGTTGACCAGAGAGGCTGGGGGGGAAAGTTCAGAGATAGAGTCCAAAGAGTTGAGCTCAGGTCTTAAACTTAGAAGCTCTTGAAGATGTCACCATTTCTCACAGATTCAGTTTCTTGATCCACAAATGGGGAACTAACTTTACCTAACATACAGAATTGCCATTTCAAATAAAATTATGTGTGCAGAAATGACAGAATCCTATAACTACAAAGTAACAAAGTAATAGGAGGACTCTGTGGTTCATTGGTTACGCTGTTGTAGTCTGTTTATTTGGTGATTAAATTTTTCCAGAATCTAAAAGTAACTTCAGTGATGTAAAAGCAGCACAGGACTTATTAGGATTATGAGGTGTAGAAGGGGACAATTTAATAGAGATGCAAGGAGGGACATGGGGACCACCTTACACAATGAGAGGGACAGGGCAGGGGTAGGAAAAGAAAAGGCCTTCTGTTGTCTGCACACTGACCTCATCAGGAAGGAGAGAAGGGCACAAAACAGTGGAGAAAGGGCACATAGCTTGCTCACAGCATGGCAGCAGATTCTCAAGTCTTACTGGTGCCAGCTGCTGCCACTTTGCCCACTGTTCCCAACCCTCTTCCATGACCCCAGAAGCATGTATCTCCGTGCTGCATTTCGTCCTCTTCTTGGGACATCACTCTCACATCCTTTCCCCTCCATTTTCTCTGTCCAGCAATAGTCTTCCACCCAGAAATATCAAGAGCTCCAAACAACTGAGCAATAACTCTTCTCAGAGAGCCAGAGCCACCAATAGAATCTGGTACAATTGGACTTGGCACTGAAAAACACACCCTTCTACAGCATATCTTCCTGTCCTTCCCTGGGTGCATGCTTTTGAAAATGCACAGACCTCGCTCCAAAGTAGTCCTGTGAGGCTTCCAGCCTAATGTCCCACCTCTGTGGCAGTATCTAAAAAATACTCCTGGCCAAAGCAACAGACTTTAAGAGAAACTGGAGGAGAGGGAACAGAGTGATGACTAGACATGAAAATGTCCCCTCTTGGCTTCCCAGTAGGCCCCTCTAACAAAGTCTTCAGCAGAGTCAGAGCTAGGTGAGGCAAACAGGCTCCCAGGATGCAAATTGAAAGAGGAACTAGAAGCGATGCTTTGAGAATAAGCACACTGAGGATATGAGCCTCAGTGTACAGTAGGCACCTGACCTTTCTCTGCCATGTGCTTTTGAGTGACTAGTAATTAACTCTGTCAGACATCTCTTTAAATTTATTTATTTGTTTATTTGTTGTTGGTTTGAAAAGCGGAGTTGGAGAGAGAGGAGAGGGTAAGAAAATCTTCCATCTGCAAATCTTCCATTTGCTGGTTCATTCCCCAAATGTCCACAACAACTGAGGGATGTACCAAAAAGGAGCTAGGAGCTTCATCCAGGTCTCCCAAATGGGTGGCAGGAACCCAAGTACGTGGGCCATCTTCTGCTGTTTTCCCAGGCACATTAACAAGGAGTTGGATCAGAAGTGGAGCACACCAGGACTTGAATTAGTACCCGTATGGGATACTAGTATCACAGGCAGTGGCCTGACCCACTATGCCAGAGTGCAGGTCCCCAGATATGATAACAATCCGAATCATAAGAGGAGACAGATGCAGTAATCTTGAATAGGTTGTCTTGCCTGTCTGTACCACCATTCTGGGAGGCAGAGATGTTATCTGCTTCACTCCATAACAGGTGCTGAGATGGTTTTTAAAAAATCTATGACTATGAGTCTGCATCAGTCATTCTCATTCAGTAAATATTTGTGTAACTGGCCTGTAGAAGGATCTCAACTTCTCTTGCCCATCCTGATCACACCAGAACATCTTCCTTGAGTAAAATTTTTGAGACTGCCAGAGGGATATCCTACTTCGAGAAGAGTCAACTGACTTGGCTGCCACTCCAGCCCCTAAGCCAACCATCCCTGCCTCTCTTTCCCTCTCCCCACTCTTCCCAAATCATTCTCCTTTAATCACCTTTCTGCTTGCAATGGGTGTGTCTACATGGAATTTTCAGACTGATTACTTCCCTTTCCGTGACTCTAGATCATAAAGCAAGTCTTGTGTCATTGCATGTATTCAAGGACATCTGGAGGAAGCATCTATCTGGGCATGAGTCTAAGCTCCTCACAAATGAAGAGTTGTCTTTTGAGGTCAACAGTATTCTCACACACTGGCCAGGATACACCACATATGCACTCACAACTGTTGCTCTGTTTATTTCTCTGCTGTGTGGTAGCCCGGGGTACCCTTCAAACTACATCATGCAGATATATGGTCCCATTGCTGCACATTGCTATTGTTTTCTCTGAAAAGCATGAGTGAGCCAGCTGTAAGCCAGACATAAGAACAATTTAACTGGAGAGTATTTTTCTTTGTACAGTATTTCATAGTATCTTTTTTAATACCATACCAACCCTTAATTTTGTGCTCTCAACTAGTGGAACAGACCAGGATTGGTATTTTTAACCCCATTATTTGATGACAGAAAGAAGTTTGACTTGCCCAGAAATCACATAGGTGGTAAATGGCAAGAAAATGATTTGGTCCTCTTGGTTTCAAATTCAGGTCATTCTGTGAAAACAATTTCTCTTAAATCTCTATATTACATAGTAGCTATCTCCCTGGAAATCAATGTAATTATAAATATGGCATGCCATAACCATTTGGCCACAGGTATCTAAACCCCAACCTTATTCCCTGTCTTGCTACCATGTGAACATCTCCCCAGGTCGTTTTTATTGGTTAATAAGCACTAATTATCATAAATCCATTTTACTCCACCTATACTTCCCTTGCAAATCAGAAAACCTAAATCCACACAAACAAAAGGATGAATCTAAGTTTAATGTTTCCTCTCATTTGGCCCTACTCATTTGGTTCACACATCCCTTATACAAATACAATCACAAACATGCGCACAAACACACATACATATGCACACATATATGGACACACAAATATAAACACAAAGAGATCATCTCAAACACATACCATCTATGTACATACATGCCCACATACATAACACATACTTACTAAATACACATACCACATGTACACTCATAAATGTATAATACACACACACGTACATGGATTTGAACACACAGTTATATTCACCTGATGCTTCTATTGCCCTTTAGCCACATCTCAACAAACACAAAGGTATTTCTTTCATTTGAATTGCACATAATGATTCATGGTCTATACATAGATATATCTCTTGATAAAATCTTAACCTCAAGCTCACCGTTTAATGTGACATTTGCTATCAAAATGAGAATCTGTGACATGTTCTAGAACAGAGCCCACACATCTCTCTTCAGGTGCCCACATTTTAAGAAATAGGGAGAATTTCTAGGAAATAAATGGAGAATAATGTAACTTTTCATAAAGGATAACCCAAAGTACAAATGAGTTCACTTTAAATTTAAGGAGACACTAAAACTTAGCATTGGGAGATTTTATATGTTATTTTATAGGGATTCTTCAAAATTTCATTTAATTTAAAGGGCAGCATGAACAATTAGATATACATACATATACATATAATTATTCTTTTGAAAAGCAAGGCAGTGAAGTAAGGGTACTTGACACTTCTTACTTCACTTATTTCACCTCTTCATTTAAATAATTACTGAGTGCCTAGTATGTGCCAACAAGTGAAGGTAACTAAGAATCCAGAGACTGAGTAGGGAGACTCATGTGTCTCTGGGTTGTCTATGCCATATGTGTTCTTTGTCTACTCAGGCATAGCATAGTAAACAAGGCAGGACAAAAGAAGCCCTGTATGCCTATTGTGAAACAGCCTCAGCTACAGCTGACAAGAATAACCTCTATGCAGGAAATAGGACTCAGTGTTGACAGTTCAAGTTCTGGAGTGAGACAGACTTGGGTTACAATCCTAGCCGTGCCATTTACAATCTTTAGAATATCAGCTGATATTTGCTTAGCCCCTCTGAACTTGAATTTCCCCATTTTTAAGACAGGGGTAATGACAGAACTAACCTTCAGGAGCTAGCACCGTAATTTAATAGGTTAAGTTTCTGCCTAAAGCAACAGCATCCCTATATGGGCACTGGTTTGTGTCCTGGCTGCTTCCCTTCTGATCCAGATCTCTGCTTATGGCCTGGGAAAGCCATGTAGAAGACCCAGAAGAAACTCCTGACTTCTAGCTTTGGATTAGTCCAGTTCCAGTCATGATGGCCATTTCAAGAGTGAACCGTTAGATGAAAGATCTTTCTCCCTATCACTCCTTCTATCTGTAACTTGCTATTTCAAATAAAAATAAAATAGATCTTTAAAGGGATATTCTTTTGAAAACAACTAATCCCAAATATCATAAGGATAAAATATTAATATTTATATATTTATAGACTGCTGTTAGGATGAAGTTGGATACACCATAACATTCAATAAGCAAATGGCTCATATATGTTTTTTAAAAGCATATAGGATATAGGACATTATAAAAGCAGACTAGCAAACACACACTAAACCCAAATAAGAAAGGACTTTGGAAAGTCTGTACATATGGTATTAGGGGACATTGTACCTGAAGAGCCTGGTTGAAGACTATATAAGTAGAGATAGTTTGGAGAATGGGCAGCAAATCCTAGGACACCAATCCCCAAGAAAATGAGGCAAGGGGAATTCTAGAGGAAGTTGAGTGTTAATTATGAACATGGGGGTTCAAATGCAAAAGATCCAAACCAGAAGCCCAAATACATTTTTGATCTCAGACTAAAGCCATGAGATCCAGGACTGGGCCACTAGCAGTCAGGTGGCTGTTCCTAAGTTGATGGAATCTGAAACTGAAGCTCTACCTAAAGACACATCTCATACCAGAGTCATGAGTTTGTGTG